ACACTCCCTGCACACCCCCTCACACACACACACACACACACTCTCTCCCTGCTCACCCCTACACACACACACACACAGACACGCTCCCTGCACATCCCCCCCTCCACACACTCTCTCCCTGCTCACCCTGACACAGACACACACACACACACTCTCCCTGCACATCCCTACAGACACACACACACTCTGCCTGCACATCCCTACACACACCCCCCCGCCGCCCCCAGCACACGCACCCCCCCCGCACACCTGCGCACAAGGCCACGTGTGCAGCCATCGCGCAGGCGTGCAGCCAGCACAGACGCACCACCCTGCCCGCCCGCCCCACCGCGCGTGCCCCCATGCACACGCGTACCCTTGCTGCCCGGCATGCGTGGGGGCCCCACCTCTGCGCTCACCCTCGCGTCCTGGCTGTCATCTCCTGCACGAGCTCTCTGACCTGCCTCAAGCGCTTTCCTCCAGCTGGGAGAAACCCCGTTCTTGCTCTTCTGACAACAGAAGGAGGCTCCGAGGATTGGCCCTAGTGCAGAGGCTGGCGTTTAGTGACGTAAACCCTCCCCGCTGAGGTTCCTCACCCCCAAATGCAGACTTAGTTCACATTCATAGAGGTAAATTGAAAATTACTTCTGCAGAACCGAATACTGATTCAATCACTGTAGCGTGCTTTGTTTAGTAGCCCAAGTCTTGCCCTAGGATCTTCTTTGTTCTTGTCTCCGTGTTTAAGCGTTAATATCCCCATTTTCTTTCCTCAGGACATTTCCCATTTGTTGATTAGCACCTTTAAGGACCTGTATACTGGAGATGTGATAGGGGTGGACATGGAGACAAATTTGATCAAGTCTCGAGGAGGAGATGACGTTTATCGTGAGACTTTCACGGGGGAGCTACAGAAGGTACAAGTCAAAACCCAGTCAAGACTTCAGAGCTCTTTACATTTACTACACATACATGTTTATTACTGATTTACAATTTCTAGGTCTTTGGAAGGGAGAAAAAGTGGACTTTTTTGTTTTATTTTTTTCCAAGAATTGACATTTTAATGGACAGTCATTTAGGTACAGAAATTTACTTGAGTACATTTTCCCTCAGGATCTTTCCTATAAATTGGTATTCGTCACGTGATCTTTCTAACTGTACAGAATATTCTCTGTCCTGGAAGCTTTCTCAGACACTAAGTAAAACCAATCACCCTTTAAAAGCCTGTTCTACTGCCTGTTGGCAACTTAACTTCTCCCTAAAATTGAAAGTCAGTGTACTAGACTTCCTGTCTTGCAATAAAGTATTCTCATGTGTTGCATTTTGCAAACAGATGCTGCAAAGATACTTAAATGTACTTTTCCTACCTTAGTGGTGCACTATGATACATAATTCATTAGCATTTGCAAAGCTATCTGAGAATCTTGGGTGAAAACAACAGGAGAAATGCAAAATACTTGTATTAATCATACTGCTCCGGTAGCTGTTGTCAGTGTGTGAGTGGAGGCTGTTGTTAGGATGATTTGAGCAACGAGTATTTTGCTTTGTTTTGTTTTGCTTTTTGCGTCATACTTTCTCAAAGGTTATCATACCTGAAAAACCTGAAGTTTTTTATTTCTTTTGAGTCATTTGTCAATATATCTGTGGACACAGGATGTTCTGAGTAATAAAACGTGAATACTATCTCTTGAAATTGACTGCTTGGATAAGATTCATCTCAGCTGACAGTACATGCCTCTAATGTGTATGTTACAGCTGAACTAGCCACCCAAAGCTCTCTGTATCATCACAGAAGAAAAACAGGCACTTTTTAGGGGATGACTCATCTGATCTGTTTTAGATATCTGCTTTGGCATGGGATGGAGTCATATCCTAGGTTCCATTGACAGTGGAGAGATCCCAGAATGAGCAGAACGGAAGGAAGCATCTGATTTTAGCTGAGATGCATCTTGCCCTTTCTATTTAAAAATTTTTCACCCAGAAGATTAAACCATGTTACATAAAAGTTCTGCAAAAAGCTCAATGACAGGCTACAGATGTTCTGAGACCAACGTCTGTAATTTTCACTTGGCGTTGCTCCTGTCTGTCTCTGTGCCTCTGTTAAATTCTTCCTTTAACTTGGATTGATACTTCTTTGAGGCAGGATCTTCTTTTAGAGTTGTGCTTGAGAATCACCAAGCACGCTGGGCAGAAAAATCTAAAATATATAAGGAGAAGTAAAGTATCACTACTGGGATATTTTGGAGTTTTAGAACCCATCCTAATAGGTAGGAGGGAACATATTCACTTTAAACGTAATCCTACACTTCCAGGCAAAATACAGAGCAGTAGCCACTGTCCCACAGAAGACAAAAGACAGACCTTTGTCTTATTCTGAGAAGCTCTTCTCATCTTTCATACGTTTTTCCTGTTGACATATGAAAGTTGGATAGTGCTTCTTACCCAGCACAAGTTAAATGATAGAAATGAAGGTATTTTAGCATTTTCTTCTTGTAAACTAATGATGTTTTACCAGGTTCTCTCTATTTGCCTCTCAAAGGCAAATAGAAAACATTTATCTATAAGGAAATCATTACTAGTTTGTGGCAGCTCAAACTATAGTCATTTCTCTACATTCACCATGTCCATGACAGCTTCTTGCTGAGTATAATTGCCGACTGACAGAAGCTGACATGGTAGAAGAGAACATCATTCATGCACAGGAGCGAGCAATAGCTGAAGAAGAAAGGGCCCTAAACGTGCTGAAGGCAGATGCTGGGGAAGATTTCCGCAGAATTGGATTGCCCTCAGGTGAGGATTCTGGAAATATTACCTCCCCCCACACAATGATAATGGTCCCTGGAGGCCAAGCCATCGTCCATCTAACTCATTGGTAGGGCTGACAGTGACCTCAGTGAGCTGTTAGTTTGCCCTTACAGCAATAAAGCAACTTTGAGGAATTTTGTGCAGAGAATCGAAAGAGTTATATCCATTCAACTTGGGAAGAAACTAACGGGCCTGATCACTTTCAGGGTATTAAACTTGCTATTAATGGCTTGCCACCTTAACTTGATTGCAAGCATACCTACGTTGCTATATAGCAATGACTAAGCGAAATTAAGTCTTTCTCCAACAGCTGCATGGAGTAGGAAACGGTAAAAAAAAAAAAAAAGAAAAGAAAAGAAAATCACCAGAAAGTTTAGCCTGCAATTATAGGTGTATAACTATATACCTGTACTTGGTTGGATCAACTTTTGCATTGATCGAGAGCAAAGTACCTTAAGGGGCTAAGCTTTTCAGCTTTGTTTTTTCTTTTTTTTTGTTTCTTTTACTGTTGCAGTTGCATCCTCTTTCAGGTGGATTGTGGATAATGAACTTCTCAGAAAACATCATTTCGCCTGCCCAGAAGATTACATCACAGATAGATTACCTGTTACTAGAGCACCAAAAGGTAACTTTTAAAGAAGAGAATAGTTTAGAGTTTTAACTCTCTGAGAACTGAAATACTGGAGGAGGTAGTAGATCTAAGCATACTTCTGTAGTTTTCTGCCAGAGCAGAACAAACTCTAGTGTTATAAGCATAACATCTCATTAAAGGGATATTATTAAAATAAAACTGTAAAATTAAAAATTCTCCTTCTCTGGAGTTAACAGAGTGTTGAATTTAAATATCAAATGTAATGGTAGTCGCACATATTTATTTACACTTCATTCCTTTTGACGCAAAAACTGTACTGATTTGGACTACTCTACTTCTACTCAAATTCATCAGCACAAAATGCAGTAAATATATATTGTATACAGAGTAGGGAAGTGGTTACATTAAAGTTAAAAACTGTTTTGAAGGAAATAAAATTTTATTCTTTATTTTGGATTTTAAATTTTTCGGGTGGATGTTCTAATTAGGCAAAGTTGCATATTTTTGGAAATATATCAGTTTAATTTTCAAATGGAAATCAGTAAAAAAAGTCTTTTAGGCAAGGTCAGTGTTATTTCTTTTTTTGTGCATGTGTGAAACGTTAAAGGGTTCAGTATGAAGGTGAAACATTTCAGTATCATTAAAATGAAATTTTCAATCAAGTCAAAAAAAGCACTTCTGAGTAATTAAAAACAAAGCCAAAAAGCTAAAATGGCAGAGTATCCTTTAAGGTGGGAATTTCATTGTTCAGCTATAGGAATGTGAAGCTGCACGAGACCTCCTATTTATGTCAATTTTCTGACTGTTACAGATCCATCAGAACTTTTTGTAAGCTAATGAGGACATCCTAAAGTCCCAGGCACTTGAAAGATTAATATATCTTTCAGGGATTAATATAATTGCTAAAGGGTTCATATAGCTTGTTTAATTAGTATTTATGAAAGTTTTGTTATTAAAACACTTTGCATCATTTGTGCAAAATAAACTATAAATATCAATGAATTTCTAGAGGAAATGTTTTTTACCATCAGTATGTTTTTTACCATCAAAAAGACTAAAATAAAGTCAAATATCTGTGCTTAGAGTAAGTGTTTATAATTTTTTGACTCTAATAGAATTATGTTTTTCTTTGAACTACAGGAAAATCAGAACCTGACTATGCCAAAGAGACATTTAGTTTTAAGCAGCACATTTCTTCAGACTCAGAGAACCAGATGCCTGAAGAGATTGCACATCTCCGTCAAGTACCGGGTAGTCTGCCAGATGTATCTTTATCCACATTAACGCTGCCTTCAACTCCGGAGCCTAAGCACCAGACTAAAAGGATAAGTAAGGTATATTTTACAGATTTATTGGGTTTAGATTATTAGAACTGTAGGACCTGTTGCTATTCTTATAACAGAGGGTGAGTCTCAGTGCACTGTTAGTTTGGCTCCAGTGTTTATTTTCTTCGATTTGATAAGAAAAGAGAAATATAGCATTTTTATATCCATTTTCAATGCTGCATAACTATTTAGTCACGTACAGATACCTTTTTCATCATTCTCAGAGTTGCTGTGTTTAATTTTGCATCGCAATCGTCTCTCTGTTTTTCAAAGAAATCTAATGCCTCGCAGAAGCTAGCTGGGAAAGACAGTAAGTGCGGAGCAGACAGAGAAAGCGAACATGCTTACATTGCCAGACTTGAGGAGAGACGCAATTACCTGAAGAACCCCCGCTTTTTCCCACTAAATGCTCTTCATGGAGGCAAATCTCTTGTCGTTTCTCAGGAAAAGGTGGACCAAATCATAGCCAGAAGAAAAGCAGAGGATAAGAAAGGGTATACAATATATTTAGTTTCTTGATTCTGAGCTGGACCCCACAAAGAGCTCCACTTTAGAATTACTGTATATAGTTATTTTGAGCCATATGTCTGTGTATAGCTTCTCAGGAAACAAGATGTGTCACTGACATTTTGTTTTTGCTAAAGGGTTTATTTTGCAATTTCTTATTTTATCAGTATTTAAAGAACTATGTAGTAAGTGGCAATAATATATCTTATTTTTTCTTTCAGTGATACCTCATTTGTTCCTGTGTTTCTTGCTAATCCACCTATTGTTTTATTTTCTGATTATGAAGTTGGTCAGGTTTATGAGGTAAGAACTTACCTCTTTGTTGAGAGAGTTTTGTCTGCCAGTGAGAAGCATTATATCTCACCATGATCTAGGTATTTCACCCAATCTTTTCACATGCTAGAATTTAATAGAAGTCTATTTCCTTTTCACATTAATTTAATGGCTCTTCAGCTTCTTTCAAGAGACTCTTTCACACCCTCCACTGACAGGCGAATCAGTGAAGACTAAAAGGGACCCTTTTCAACCTCTGCTTGATTTCGTTAGTATTTGTTTTACCCCTTTTCTAATAAGCTGAGAGAAATGACTATTTTACGCTTCTGTAGTATTCCTGATTTTAAGGCCTGTTGTAATGATGAATTAGCTGCTACTGGTAGAGCACTAGGACGTTACAAACACTGTAATGACTGATGATAAGTCATGATGTGGTATTACATTTTCTTTTTAAATGAAGATGACAATAGAGCTACAGAACATCACTTCAACATGTCACCATGTAAGAATTATCCCTCCCTCTACTTCAGCATTTGCCATTGGGCCAGGTAAGGGCTTTCTGACTTCATTTAAGACGTTAATACATAAGAAATCTAATTGATGTGCTTGAACATAGATTTTTTGAGAGACTATGTTTGGTTCTGCTATCCACAATGCTGTGAGTAGGACTCTAATCTTGCCCCGTTCTGTAGAAACTGAAGATTCTGTTATGTCTCTAGGACCACTCACATGCAAATCGTAGGCAGATTCAAGTGCTCTAATGAGGGATTCAAGAAAACTAATTAGCATTAAAATATTTGAAGTCAGAATTAAATGCGTCCATGGAATACCTAGACTGAGTCTTACCCAAAATTTACCAAGGAACAGATTTAGTGTCCATTGAAATCAGTAGGGGGAAAGGGCAAGAAATAACACACTTAAATTGCAGCAAGGAAGATGAGGTTAGATGAAAGGTAAGACACATATCTTTCCTACAGTAGGAAAGCCAGGAAGGAGTGTGTAAGGAGACTGTGGAATCTCAGTCAAAATACTGGAGGAATTTTTAGAACAAGTTATACATACACATGTAAGCCTTGTTGTCTGTGACAGAGAAAAACTATGTAACTTCTCCAGGTTTCTCTCTGTTCTGTTTTCTGTAATTATGAAAAAGACATATTTCAGACAACAAATCCTTTTGAGTTCAGTGGAAGGTATGCAAATACACAGATTATACTGGCAGGCCCTTTGTGGTCATTTGTTTTTATCAGTTTGACTTAGGCAATACATGTGGAGAGTTTACTATATGCCCCTTTCCAGAGGGAGATGTGATCATAAATACATATGCCAACTTTGGAGGGTTTAAAATTGAATTTTCTTCATTTTTTTTCCAAGGCAAATTTCCAGGAAAGGGAGGAATGATTGCTCCTGGGATGACATGCCAGTATACAATCCAATTTATTCCTGAATATCTAGCAGATTATGAAGATTGTATATCAGTGGAAACCCAAGCATCAGAACCTCTTATAATACCAATCCAAGCAAAAAGACCACCTCCAGTGCTAACGTGTCAGTAACGTCCAATTCTACAAGTTTTTCTTAAGTTTAATGGATGTGATTTTTTAATTAGGCTGTCTCCAATTTTATGGTACAAAACAAATGTGGAGAAACTTGGCAGTGCATTTGCTACATTTTGATATCTATCTCATTTTCATTCATAATATGTTTATTAGCTATTAAAATATAATCCTGACAATTTTTTCCTCAATTATTTGTGCCTGCCGCACCGAGCTCATTTCTTTTCACTGCGAAGAGGAGTGATCAGGAGCCTCGTTTTTAGATTTATATCCTGTCAATTCCTAAACTACTAGCTGTAAACACTACTCCTAAATATCAAGTAATAAGTATTTAGTTATAAATATTTGCTGCTATTGATTAATATTTGAAGTGATTGATTAATATCCATTGGAGATTGCATTCATTATATATCATTATGACATATCTGCAAAGTTTGCCTCTCAGACATCTGGCAGTAAACTCAACTGCAATAACTAGGACTATTTTGCATAAATTTGCTTTCATTTTTCATAAATTCACCTTCTCTGTAACACTGAGCTTTCTTGCAAAATGATATTTCTTATTGTCATTATTCAGGGGGAGTCCTTAAGTAGGAAGCACCATTTAAATTTGAGATGAATGTAGCAAGATACAGCTCATAATATTTATCTTTCAAATGAAAATAATTTGAGCTTTTTAGAATTAGAGTACCTAGCTATATTCCTATGTAGCAATATCTGCCTTTAAAGAATTATAGAACTAACTGGCTTTGCCAGCTGCTAGCCTTCGCTGTCTGTGTAGTCTAATTTTCTTTGCTTTTCATTGCAGTGCCTCACATTATAGACTGTGGTTCCTGCCTTGTTGGAGGAATAAAAGTTACAAAGATTTTGTGCAGAAATGAGGGATTTAGCACTGGCAGGTTCTGTATAATGCCAAAGAAAGTCTGGCCACCTCCTAATTTCAGGGTAAGTAATTAGAAAGGAGTACTGAATATGGTATAGGTGCCCTGACACATGAAGACCTTGTGAACTAGTCATAGTACATTAGCACAGAAGTCATAAGGGCTCTGCTGGGTACATCTGTCCTGTCACATCCCCTTGGGGACTCACATTTATCCTCAAGCCCAGTCTCCCTGGCCAGCCATACTTCCTACTTGTGCTCTGACTTGCCTCTGAAGGTTGTTGTCTGGCTCAGTGGTGAGATAAACTCAGGCTCAGATTGGGGGAAGGAGGACAGCTGGCTTGAATTTTAACCTTATCCATACAGGAAGTAGAAATGCAATCAGTTCTAGCATTGCTTTAGGTATTTTCCTTCCTCTCCCCACCAAAGATTTCCCTTACTGGCCTGGCTGCACCTGCACACCCTTGCATCGCACTCCAGTACTGCTCTGTCTTTAGCTTCCCAACACAAAACAGGGTCTATATGATACAAAGAAGATGAGATGTGACTGGTAGGTTGGCCTTTATCTGTTGGAGAAAAGGCTAGTGGGATAGCTGATGTGCCAGGTAATCCCTCCTGAAAAGCTTTGCAAATCCAACTTAAAGTGAGCCATAAGCACACAGAGACAGGCACAGCTCCTGAACCTATGCTCAGACATACTTACTTCCTCTGTAAACATTAACATTAGTGTTCCTGACAGTGTCATTTGTCCTTGAAGACAGCACGTTCCCTCCGTCTGCCATCAGTAAGGTAATTATAAAGCATGGAGTATTTCTTCTTGTTAAGCCATGTTACTTATTTTTGAAATAAGTGAAAAAAGAACAGTTACAGGAAAGGATAAAACAGTGATGGTGCAGCATACCGCCTGTTTTAGGTAGCCCCGTATTCAAAAAGAAAACAACCCGATCTGTTTAATGTAGTCATCTTTTCTTTTTTTTACTCCTAGGCCGTTGCAACTGTTGGTTTTGTAAGACAAGATCCATTTGGGATACATCCTGCAGTTTTTGAGCTAACTCCAGGGCAGAGTACAACAATAGAGGTTTGCAATTGCTGCTATGTAAAATGTTAGTAGTTCACCAAATACGTGAGCAAAATAAGACCATTTTAGAAGACCTAGGCTGGACCTTGTGAATTTTAGCTTATGTGAGTGAAAATGCTCAAGATTCTTTGTGCAACTGTGCCAGAAGGATTGCAACTGTGTGTGTTTCTGGAAGGTCTTTCACTGAACTTCTAAGTCTTGCTTACCCACTCAGAGACTAGTCAGATCTTCTCCAGGCAAAGAATCCTGTTAGAGAAAATGGGAATTTGAGAACACAGGAGTCCTTATTTGACTCTAACTGGAGGTTCAAATCCAAAAAATTTTCCTTTGTGAGCTTCCTTGGAAGGAACATTTTGGAAAATAAAATCTGTCATTGTAGAGTAGCAGGTACAAATGCTCTACTTCTGTCCTGCTCCTTACCGAAAAAGTTCCTGCAGTAAGTGTGCAGTATTGGCTGCCACCAAGGCTTTCCCTGGTGTGGGCCACATTATCTTATAGGATGACTATGGGGAGAAGGGTAATAAAGGGAACATGGTCAGCTTCCAACCTTTCCTTTCTTAACTACCTCCTGGCTGCCGCTAAAAAGTAGTGGGTCATTCAGATTTGGATAGAGGAGGACAGTTTCTCCTCCTTTCTCTGTCCCCAGATGCATTCCTTCAGCAGGTCCAGGCACACACTGGAGAGGGAAAAGAGGAGGTGGATGTAGGATGGGGTTGGACTTGCAGGCAATACTGGATAACAGGCAGAAGAGCTATTGCCCACATTACTGGAGCCAAAGGTTGCCCAGGTTTGGCCGCCTGAGCCATTTTTGTTGAGATGGAGCTCAGAAAGGGCACACAGCAGCTGGCCGCCCTGCTCACGCTGTTGTAGCTTTACAAGCTATGGTTGCAATGATCAAGAAGTGATGCACATCTGATTCTGAGAGGGAAATTCATATGACTGAACAAGTATAGTGCCTACATCTCTAGTGACTACAAAGGTAGCCTGTGGTGACCAGCCAGATACACGCATGTAGGTTTAGTCACCCTGAAAGCGCGTGTTTCTTTCTGCTGTGTATTAAGGGAATGTGAGACTGTGACTGTAGGCATAAGATTTAATCATTAATCACTAGAACTCTCCTTTAGTGAACAATTTTGAACTGAAGTTGGTGGCTTCCTGGAGAGAAATCAGCTACAGACATTGCTGTTTATCTTCTATCTTTCAGGTAGTGTTTTTTCCTTCTTTTCCAGAAGTCTCACAGCAAACATACACCATTGTTTGTGACAATTGCCAGGTCAATGATGTTACAGTCACAGGTTTGTTTCTAACATCTTTCACAGATCAGTTTCCAACACTGCAGATACTCAGTTGATGTGAGTTGCGGTCAATGGTTCAAAGCAAAGGCAACATTTTATATCTCTGGATTAAGCAAATACTTTGCACGTTGCTAGTGTTAAAGGTTAAGCATTTTTATTATTACTACGCTATTCCAATGTATGAAATATTTAGAACTCAGAAAGTGCTGGGCTCTAAACCCACTGTAGGCAAAAGAGAACTTTACAAATATAAAATGTCACCAAGTAGTGGAAGAGAACACCTGTAGTCAGGTGCAATTCATTTCTTAGGCTTTTGTATCAATAAAATAACATGACAAAATATAAAGAATTAGCTTTAACAGGGCGGAAGTACATTTGGGTATGAAGCAAATGTGTGGCACATTTTGTATGAGTGCGTTTGGGAGAGATAGGCAGTCTTAGGTTAACTAATGAAACCAGCTGAAATTCTTGGCTATGAATTTTAGTGCTTGTCCTAAAATGGAACTGTGAGTGCTATAAAATTAGACATAGCTTGAAGTCTATATAATCACTTTATCACGTGGATTTCCTTTGGAAATTTTTTAATAGTGCCTTTGCTGCTTATTTTTATTTTTAATATGCTACTCTAAAAGTCTGGAAGCCACATTATCAACCACTGCAAATGCATATCTCTGCTGACTTCAGTGAAATAGTGCTAATGTATAACAGATCATGCTGGTGTGAATGAGCTGAGGTTATGGTCTTGAAATCTAAATCTGTTAAATTTGTAAAGAGGCCTTCTCTACTGGTATATGGTGATAATCAAAGAGCATGAGGAAAATATTGTATAATTAATACATTGGAGTTTCAAATCTTGAGGAAACACCCGTTATAATCAGTACAAGCCATTGCTGTGTAGCTGTAGTGTTAATGAGTAGTACAAACAAAGTTAATAGCCAGATGATAAGCAGTAATACCAACTTATTTCTTCAAGGCATTGGACAGCTGATAGCTCTGGAGCTGTTGTTTGTCACGGGTGGAGAAAGCAACCCTGAACTTGGTGAAATTACTGATGTAACAGCACAGCACCTCATACGATTTGACCCTCAAAACCCACACGTCTCTGTGGAGAAGAATTTGATTATAAGAAACTCTACGTATGTAGCTGCTATTAATAGAGCAACGCTCTGCAGTCCAAACATAGTGTCAATGATGTTATTTGTGATACCACATTCTCTCAGGTTGGAGTAATCTTCATGCACTGGATAAACTTTACCTTGTTTCTTTTTGCCTTGCTTCTTTTTGCTTCATTGTTAAGTAATTAAGGTTCAAGGATATACATGTAGGAACTGCAGAACAAGCTTAATTGCCGCTACCCATATTCCTTGGTCCATATGCTGTCAAGGTCAACATACTTACCCCTATATAGATACATCCACAATTCCAGAAGATTCATGAATATGGATGTTTACAGGAATTGTTTAACAAGGTGATCCAGATGGGATTTGTCTCATATGACTTTACCTGCCTGCGATGTATATTTATACATCCAAACTGAGCACCCTGGTCTTTTTTGCTTTCATAGCACAGGGAAATAGGTGCTCTTTAGGGCACAATTTTGACTTGACCATAGACATCTCCTATAGAACAGGACAAAACACATCCATGGACTCCATTTTCACGGGTGAAAAAGGGAGACCAGCCTGACTACCTCAGATTAAAACTTTTAGGTTTAGTTAGGTGAATTGTACTAATGGAGTCTAATAGATTTAAATATAAACTCTATTTGAGTTTAAGGAACATCTCCCAGTGTGTGTTTATATTCTACTGAGAACAGTCGGACCCTGATTTTGATCAGTCATTCAGACAATAACAGAAATAGACCAATGTGCCTGACTGAAGCAGAGTTAGAGGATGCAGACCACCACAGCAGTAAGGAGTTAAATACTGCTCCTAGATACATTCATGTAGATTGCAGCTTGATACAGTGACTCTCTTGGAGTTTGCTGTCCGGCCTGTAACCTGCACATGCAGAATGCTGGTACAGGATGCAAAGAAAATAGCAAGAAAGTGTGATTCAGTCAGCTGAATGCTGTAAACTGACCAAGGCTCGGCATTATAACAGTGACAGCTGTCCCTGCACTTCTAGCGTTAGCACTTGTATGAAACAAAGCTAGACAGGCTGAGATTGACCTCCACAGAAGCAGTAAAGAGAAAACTTTCTACTGCTGTAGAAAGTACTACAAGAAATTGTACTTGTTTTATTTTATGTCACTCATACTCACTTTGAAACTCCAGTGTCCTGCCTCTCCTTTGTAATGCAGAGTTTTTGAGGTCAAAATAAACAAGGTTTTAAAACTTATGAATAGATTTCATGGAGTAAGTACACTTCTGCTGAAGCAAGCCAACCAAGCAACCTTTTCTGAAAACTGTCTAGGTTAAAAAGAACATCATAGCAGAGCCGTTGCTAAAATCTTTGCTTAGATGGAGTTGCTGTGTTTGTTGACATTTTAAAGACTAGGGCCTGTACTTGGATTAAATTCAGAATGATAAACGTAGATCGTCATCAGTGGTCCAGTGCAAACCTACTGGTATCAGTAGGAAAGGTCCTATTGATCTCAGATTTTTGGAAAGAACAACTATAGAGTTTCCTAAAATTGGCATTGCATGCCAAGTTAGATAAGGCAAGAAAGTGTTAATATTTCTTACATGTTTATATATTTTAATTCTATATATTAGCGTGTTCTTAGTGGAATATATACACTCTGACAGATTTTCTGTGCTGCCTCATCATCTCTGTAGCTCACAAAGACTGGTAAGTCAATCTCCTCATTATCTTTAAGGAGCGAAATTCTCCATAGGGAAGAAAAATGTATTTTTTCTCCCAATATGTTACTCAAAAACATCTAATCTTTTTAATTATAGCTTTTTGCTGTTTACTGATCTCTTTGCAGCCACGTAGAACTTCCTTTCTACTGGCAGATAATAAAGCCTAATCTGCAGCCATTAATGCCAGAAGGAACTGTAGACTTTACGAAGCTCAAATATAATCGCGACACAGAATCAGCCTTCTCCCTGAATCCTAAGCAGGGAGTTTTGCTTCCCCATGCTGATCATGAGTTTGTTCTCACTTATGCTCCACAGGAGGTATGGCTTGTGATTTCTTCCTATCTACAAACTCCAGCTGTGTATTTTTTATGCAAGTCATAAAACCCTTGCTGTGCAGCTTTCTGAATTAAATTTAATTAGCTAGTACCATGCTCTGATAAACAGTATTGAAAAATGTAGAAAGTTTCTACAAGAAAACATGTTTTGATCGCAAAATATGAGCCAGCTTCTGATCTCATGTCACTTTTGGTACTGATTGAGCTCCATTAACTTTACGCTGAGAATGTGGACACATCCTCATTTCGCTGCAGCTGGGCTGGCTGAAGAAGTTACCACTCTTACCATACTACTGGCTCCTCCACCATCCCCTGCCCTTTCCCATCTGCTGGCTGAGCTGCTTTGGGGATCTGTCCCATTCCTACTCCAGCCCAAACAAGCTTGGTTAGCAAACAGTGATTATTTAAACTGTTTTCAATTGTGGCTTATTTGGGATGAAGCAGTCCTATGAACAGCTGTGTGGTAAGCATAAGGGGTAGTAACCTTTGGCAGAGGAATGATGATGTGCAGCTGTGGGTAAAGAGAGGTGCAGTGATCTTTGGTGGCAGCTGTACCAGTGGATGTGGGACTATTATTTTAGCTTTTGCTCTCCCATCAGGGTAAATAAGAAGTATGAGATCACTGTGTTTAAAGAAACTTGATCCAAACTAAGTTCAAGAGTGGGAATATTCAATACTGGGGAGACTGACAGACATAGAAATGAGTCAAATAAATGTGGAAGAGAAGTTTATGGGGTTTTTTTTTAATATTTTAAAGCAGATTAATTGAAAAGCATATTGATGATGGTTTAATGATATTACTTTGCTAACAAAATGTATTGAATTAATATATACACTTAGATTAATATCCTTTGCATAGCTCTTCAGATTTAAGGCCTGATTCTGTGTTACTCTTTTCTTTCATTAGCGTATAGAAGGCATCCTCTTCCAGCAGGGAAAATAGTGGTTCTTAGTCAAAATCAAATTACTGATCAATTAAGCTAAATGCCCTGGCATGGCTATAACAACCTTTGACTTACTACAGCAGTACTAATCTTAATTTAGGAAGCCTGTGCAAATGCTTTTGTGTAGTATGCAATATACTAGGGGAATAATAACAGGCATGTAAAAAATGAGTATTTTTCTTGGAACCATATACCATGAGGTCAGAATCTGGCTTAATATTTTGCAGTCAAACATGTTTTCTTTTAGTTACTCTAGATTTTCAATATTGTTGATCAGAGCTTAGTACTCTGATGATGATTGTTCATCCTTTAAATATAAGCCCTCTTTTTTATCTCTTTTTTTTTTTTAAAATTCTCAATATAACTGATTACTCGGTAATAAAATCATCTGCTTCCTCTTTTGTATAGCTGAAGAGTTATCACAGTGTGATTCAGATGGTACTGAGGGACATCCCAGAATCACCTTGGTAAGTTGAGAAACACTGTTTTCCTGTAACATGTGTAGTAATAGTTTAGCTGTGATACTATATTAAAAGTTACTGGGATTCTTTATCTCTGTAGTGATGATAATGCAAAAAAAAAAAAAAGGGGGGGGGGGGAGCCTTGGACAGACAATTAGAAAGGATTTTATCTGCACAACCAATATTGGTCTAGAGTGTGTCTCTACAAATTCCCCTCATGTCTAAACACATGCCTTAGCTCTGCCTGGGGCTGCACCTGTCTAATACTATTCATTTCCCAGGCTTTCTGCTGAGCTTTCCAGCAGTTTTTTCTGTTATTACTGTTTGTCACAACAGTCTGTGACTTAATACTTGTTCAGGAATAGATTAGAACAGCCAGAGTATGTCAGAAGGACCACTGGAATTTGTCCACTTTTTAGTTACCCCCCAACCTGGGCTAACTGCACACCAGCAGTCTGTAGTTGAGAAGGTTTTGATGATTTTCACTTCCTGTTTATTCACTCTCATCTTGTTTATTATCTTGTTTATAATGTTTGTAATTGATTACTATTAAAACATGTCTGCATTCTGTTTTAATTCCATTCCTAATGATAGTCTCCCAAGCAATCCACGTTTCAGTTCTGTATCTCTAGGCTTTGGGGACGGAATCTCTGTTTTCAAGCTTTTAAACTTGTTTATTTAACATGGGAAGAAAATATAGATTTTGTTTTAGGAAACTGGATGGATCAGATGTGATGAAACAAATGAACAGAACAGAAATAAAAAAGAAGCAACAGCTCTATCTGGAAAATACTAACCAAAGAGAAAACGTTTGAAAAAGTTATGCGCATTTTAACTTGGCAATTAACAGATGGGATCCATGGTCCGTACTACATTCATGTGTCTAGCTAGCTTTGGCCAGTTTTCTTTTCATTCCGGTTTTACTTGATAGCTTCATAAGGGAAACAACTGATTTACAGCAGTGTAAGATGCTTAATAATTCTGCGACATTTCCTCTCATAGTTTAGTAACGGAGTCGGTGTTTCAAAACATCCCAGAATACAAAGCGGAGGATGTAATAACAATGGAAATAGAAGTTAAAGGTTCAACAGAACCATTTCAGCTTCTTCTGGAACCATATGCTGTTATCATCCCTGGAGAAAGTTTTATTGGTGTAAATGTCAGAAAACCATTTAAGGTTTGTTTGCTTTTGCCTTCACTGTTATCGCGTGCTTTGTGTCACTGGATGCCATAGGTGTTGTTAGAAGACAGGAGATAATCTGTTACTTTAGGTTTTTAAAATGCTTTTTAGAGGAGGCCATGACTACAGGAGGAGCTGTACTAAAAGCCCATAGCAGGCCTCCTTATCCCCACACTCCAGGCAGCAGGCTTTGTTCTTTTCTCTCAAGGGTGATTCCCCAGATTTCAGCTCTTTTTAAATGATTTCCTGTCACAAACCTATTGCTTACCGTTTTGTCATTTCTGTAGTGCAAGAGCTTTCTACTTGGGAGAAATAGCCAGCAGTTGAGTAAATCATTCATGACAGAGGCACTGTTTATTCAAAGGACTACAGAAAGCAGAGAAAAGGGTTAAAGCCACAAAAGTCATATATGCCTACCGCTTACAGACCTCTTTCTATTCTTTCCTTGTTGGTTCTGATAATTTCTGATTGCCCAGTACGGAACGCAGTCCTACTGTAATTGTCCACTCATCGTGCTCTTCACTACAGACAGGGATCCTTTTGATCCTAGATTCACCGGAGAAGAACAGGCTCTGTGGCAAGAGCCAGGCATGAAAACATTTCCCCATTACTGGCCTTCCCATTTTTTTCCTTAAAGACATTTATTTTCTTGCTTAATCTTCCTAAAAGTTCTTTTTCCACTTAAGGTAGCCATTTCAGACATTCCAGGAACCTAGCAGAGCTATGTATGTGCTGTAGGTAATTGAACCACAATTCCTTTTTTTTTTTTTTTTTTTTTTTAATCTTAAAAAATGTAAAAAATTGAAATGTGTTTAGAGATAAATGTGCTACAGAGGACAAAATTCTTTGCTATGATGAAGAAATAATGTCTGAATAGATCTGAAGAGCAGGCCAAAGAGTTCCAGAGCTTACATCTTCCTTTCAAACAGATTCTTTGGCAAATAAGGTTACTCTTAAAAAGAAGGATTTGAAGTTTAAGCTTTGAGGGTCTGTTTCATTTGGTCAAATGTGGAAAAAAAATAAAAGGCTTCAAATATTATAATGTCCTCCTTGGAAAGAACGGCTAATGGCTAACTCTTCAAGTTTCAGAAAACACCACATACTAGTGTGAAAGTAGTCATTGAGGTTCATCTGACTAAATATAGTTCTCTCAGCATAGATGTCCATGTCAGAGCTATCTTTTTTGGGCTCTCCTGGTCTTTGGAGATTTGAGCAGCAGCATCCAGAGGGTGATTCATGTCATCCTAAAGCCTAAAACGGTTCAGCAGAATTGTTGCCGACACTGCCTAATTGGCTTTATTGACAGGAAGGTGAATCCTAGGAGATAAGATCAGATGTAGAGCTCTCACCTATACTGCAGATATGTGAAATCCGATCAGATGGATTCTACTTCTTGTCCTACTTCATGTCCCTGTTTCAGATCACAGAGGGGAAAGGAAAGGGAAGTTACAGCATATTATGAGAAAACAGTAGTTAGTTCATAACACTGGGCTGGTACTGTTTGAGTCAGAGATTAGATTCGTGCCTTTCCACTTTTACTGTACTCAGTTGATTTCAAGATTCAGGTGGAGATACCCAATATGTTTGAGCTAGATTAGAGATACATTAGTATGACCTAATGCTCAGTGGTGATCAGGATGTGGCTAGTGTTTGCAGTTAAAGTAGTGCATGCAGTCATTAGACTTGCATTACCTAGTTTGTAGTGCATCACTGCTTTCAGCAAATTGGCATGTCATTATGAAAGCTTAAAGTGTATTATTTAGCTCATTGATTTTAATTGTTTTAGATGTGGAATAACAGCAAATCATCGATCAAGTACACATGGGAGAAAATCATTGCATGTGATATAGTGGAAGTTGAACCTCATACTGGATTCATAGGTAAAGTTTCTGTGACTTGCAAGTATCAGTTAATGACAGAAATATTTAAATTGGCACTGGCAGAAGAGAAAAGTTGGAGTGCTATAACGCAGGACCCGATCCCCAGCGCACTGCAGCTAGTGGGAGACTTTGGCTCCAGAAGCTTCAGTAACAGACTCACAGCAGGTTGTTTCTTTTCAGGGGGGTGTGGCAGAGACCTGAATTTTTTCTTTTCTAGATATGACTGAATGCTGTGAATTTGAGCTCACAATTACTGGAGGCAAACCTGGCTGTGTCAGCCATAACCTGCAGTGTAAAATTGAACACTCTTCAGAGCCCGTGGTGCTGCATGTTGAGGCTGCTTTTAAGGTGAGCAACCAGTTCAGTGTTGCAGGATGACTAGCTGTGGGGCCCGGCTATTGACACATTTTTGCCTCTTGAAGGCCTGATAAATCTAAGGCATTTACAAATGGGGGTATTTTTACTGCGTAGTAACTACTGAGGCAATGTTGATACTGTTGTGACGGTAAGAATTTTCCTGTATTACATGCAATACCTTTGCCTTCTGCTATTATATGTGAAGTCAGACATTAATCTTAGCGAATGTATGCTTTTCAATCAGGTAGTTTTGGCGGAAATGTCCATTTTGACGTCTATTTCCTGGTGTCCTAGGGTCCACTGCTCTCTATTAATATTCCATCGCTCCAGTTAGGTTTGATTAAGTGGGGTGACAGCGTGTTAAGAACCTTTGAGATTCAAAATCTATGTCAGCTGCCAGCAAGGTGGAGAATGCGAGAAAGCCAGGCTTGTCTAACTGAAAGGAATGAAGAGGTAAGTGCCTGCCATAACTGGCTATATTCTCCCTTTAGCCATTTCTTTCTCATTTTAGCAGCTGTAACGTTCATTGTTGCAACGTAAAGTTCAGAGATCAGAAATTCTAATTTCTGTGACTTGTTATGAAACTGATTCTGCACAGTTCCAGAAGTGCACAAGTTCTTTTGAAATGAAATACTTCCCTGCAATTTTTCTGTGCTTCCATTTCTTACAAATCCTCTGCCAGCCTGATCCAAAGAGTTATGGAGTATTTCCTTTTCGACAGTGATTTCTGCTGCCACTGATACAAGTGAGGGGGTAAGACTTTGTATCTGAATGGAGGCTGCTCGGCCCTATTCCTGCACCTACATCAGCATCACAGAGAAGAATTTCAGCACATACTGAATCGGGCATTTTGGCTTTAAACAACAGTTTTGAAAAATGCAAGTGTGCCCCCAAAATAACTTCTTACCACAATCAAAGCTAAAAGTATAATTTAGTATTTTCTAGACTATGATGCATCAAATACAGTCCATTCCTGTCCTTGACCTCAGAGCTCATTGGATCGTTTCATATGGAATAACTAGAGCACCTTGCAGTTAATGCTGGTGACAAAGAACTGACTGAGAGCTGACATCTGCAGCCCATAGCATGTTTCCAAATATTTTGCTTTATTATTACTATTTTATTTTTATTATTTCTGGCACACAGTGGGCTCTGTAGCTAGATTTCTGTTGGATGTTATGCATCAAAGGGAAGTGAGGAAATCTAGACTCTGGGATAAGTGTTTTTTATTGTAATGAAAGGCCAAATTCTGCCTGTAGGCCTCTTCACATGATTGCCTGTGCAGGCAATTGAGTTTACTCGTTTCATGGCAAAAATTGGTCTAAACAGTGTTCGGAAGTTCTGTTTTTTTGGATAGATCGTGTCAATTTTGCAACTGAAAAAGGAACTGAAATAGGAACTTTTTGTTGACCGTCTCGGACAACGGAAGCCCGAAGGAAGCTTTACTGTATTCTTATGAGTTCTTCAGAATTTTTCTTTCTTAACCTGTCACGCAGATATTTCACCAACTTTGTGTGAAAGTTGACAGCGAAAAAGGATTTATGAGTGGCCGTTATGGCATCCTTGCAGAACAGTCTTTTGTGTGTGTGTGTGTGTGCGCCTGCCTGTCCCTTTCCCCTCAGGGCAGTTATGGTCAGAAGTGCCTGATTAGGGATGGGGGGGTCCTATAGTAAAAACTGTCCTTCCAGCCCTCAAGCCCTTATGTTCTCCCTTCCTTATCCTTCTGTCCCTTGACACATCCAGCAGTTCTCAGGATCCCAGAGAGATTTTAGAGATGTAATCCCTTCAGTTTATCATCCCAGAGTCCCATTCCTGCCCCCCAAAACATCAGTGATCAAATTCTCCATTCCTCCTACATCAGAGCTATACTCCTCTCCCCTGCTCTCACTCTTTTGATTTCCTTCCCGTCCTTCTGTCCAAGAATCTCCTCAATTCATGGCACCCTGCGTAGCTGCCATTCAGCCCGCCTCTTGGGAGGAGAGCCTGCTGCTGACCACTTGTCTGTCTGTTTGCCTCTCTGTCTCATAGGTTTCGCCCTTTACCATTCATCCATCTGCTGGAGAAATACTTCCTTTGGATATATGCAGTGTGTCAGTTCAGTTCACGTCGCTGCAGTGTCAGCGTCTCCAGACAGTTTTAGAACTAGAGGTAGAAAATGGAGAAGGAAGGTAAGGGGAAAAAGGAGTGTTGTGTTTTGTTTTTCCTGAGGATTCACATGTGATCTTTCACTTTAGGTAGTTTTATCTGCTAAAATAAAAATACGTAGCAGAAACTCTGCGTGGAATTGTATAACCTATCAATGAACTATCCAATCGCAAATATTACTAGATAAACATAACAATCATTCTTTCCAGCATGCTGTTGTATGTCTAGCACATTTCATTAACGATAACAATAGACCATCTGTGTGTTTACTTCCAGTCATCTTCCTGTTTTTGTTGAAGTTCAGACCCCCCAAGCATGCCTGATGTCTAGTCATCTAGTGTTCACTGAAATTTATACTGGAGTTCCTGCCAAAGCAACCAGCAAACTTTTTAACCAGACACTGCTGCCAGCAAAATACTTGTGGGGAAAGGTAAATGCCTTTCTGGTAAATGAACGATACAGCAGGGACAGATGTTGTAGTTTTCATCAAAATAGAAACGTATCCGGTGTGTCCTTTGAGTAGTGATTGCTATTTACTGGTTTATGAGCGAGATTTAGACTTGAGACATCTTTTCTCCATAGTACCAGCCTTTACGAGAAGATTAACTGTCACTTGATGTTAATACACTCTTACTGTCTGTCTGTTGATCCACCCTGGGAGAGTGGGTTGGTGGAGATTTGAGGAAAACGGGATATAAGCTACCAGAGTATTAAACAAAGTATCATGACAGTTCAGGATTTGCATTTCATTCAGCAGAGCAAAGATACAATGGTGCTTTTGAATTTTAACTGTTTAAATTATGCTTAAATTCCGCATTATGAGTGGGATTCAGCTCACGGATTAAGACACCTAAATTTAATGACCATATGCAAGCTACTCTCTGAACAGTGGAAATCTGGGGAGGAAGTCGGTCACCAGAACGTGTCCAGTGTCGTTTTGGATGCTGTAGAGTTTTCTGTCTGACTTCCAGATGTTAAGAAGTGTGGTCTCTTTTGAGTCCTGTCACACAAGCCAACCAAGCATCTATGCCTCAGATACCCTATGTGCCTATGTTTAGGCAACTGAATCCTACCCTATATATACAGACAACAGAGTCCAGAGAACTATTCAGCTGATCCTAAAATGGATGCCCATTTTGGTTCACAGAATATTCTCCAGAACATACTGATTGGATATCTGTTGGCTACAGTGGAAGATCTGATGCCCAAGTCATATATAGACACATGCACTTAAGTCACTTAACCTGTAAGCTGAATCCCACTTGACAGTGCTTTAGTCCTTCGATCCACTTTGAGATCCACTCTGGGTTCAGTTCAGTTGCCCGCATAAAATCATTCAGCGCCACTTGAGATGCCCTAAGGTGCTCAAGACATCCTAACAGAGCTTGCGGACATGATACAGGACCTGCTGGAAAAACTTCTGAAGCAGCTGCAGCCCAGGAGGGGTATCTACAGCATTTCAAATGGTATCTGATCTCTGTGTGAGCTGCTGAGTTTAGTCCCTGGACTCATGCCACTTAGGCAAGCTGCCAATACTAGGCTTGTCTCTGTAGGCCACCTCTCAGTAGTCAGTGGAGAGAGACAGGGTGCTTCTAGGACCCAGCTCTACCCAGCCAGGTAGGTTGGACCTGGTCTCTCAGGTAGGTTGACCCAGCCCTGGAAAGGCTCGTCCCTCTTCTGTGACTGTGAAGGAGTCTCTGCTCCCAGTTCAGATGCGTCAGCTGAGCAACTGAAGTCACTGAGAATGAATCTAGGGATGAGCATCTTACCAACCATGGGGGATTTGTAAAGCAAGCCTCATCTCAACAAACTGTATGCGTTGCTACCTGAAAGTGCACTAAAACTTTAGATCACTCTGTGTAGTCCTCTTCAATCTGAAGAGAAAATATGGAAGAATTGGGAGTTAATGAGTTAAGAGTTAGCTGAACGCCTGTCCTCTCTGTTCGGCAGCTCATTGGAAGTCAGGCAGCTTTTTGCTCTGCCAGTGTCTCCCCAGCCGGTGGCACCTTAGGCCCAAATGAAGAAAAAGAATTGTGCATAGAGGTAACAGCCAACATCACGGTAAGTTTAAAAACTGATGTAATTTTGTCAGAACAACACTGGCATAATTATTGCACTTCCATCTGCCAAAAGGAGCATTTTTATATACGGAATAGAATGCTCCTTTTCATACGATGTCCCTGAAATTGCTTTGTTTTGGAGATAATAGTGTTTGAAGGCAAAAATGAAACCAGTCCACATGGCATGCAATTTTGTACTCTGCCTCTTTGTTTCCCAAATAATCTTGTTTTCTTTCTTTCTTGAATGCCTGTTTAATTGCTGTTAATGCTTATTACTTTTCTTAGAGCATACAGATCCTCAGTTATACAATTATCCCAAATGATTGGTACAGATTGGTACATATATAGAGCACGTTTGATTTGCTGAATGCCACTGGGCTCATGACGTTTTGGTAACAGAAATCATAGACAAAAAGGGGGTGATGGGAGTGGGAGTCTGCAAAGTTAAAAGGCCCTGAAGGCTGTAGATCACAGAGTTCACAAACTGCAGGAATTCAGCCATAGGCTTTATGGGAGCATTCAACAATGTGATTTAAGGCATCTGAATGATCTAAATCCCTTTACGTGAGGTGTATTAGTTCCCGTTACAGTCACTGGAGATCTAGAAAAGTCCTGCTTTAAGCTGAAGTAAAAATAAAATCTCCTTTTGGAAGAGGAAAGTGCTTAATGCTTAGAGCTTCAGCACTTGCAGTATAGAAAGCTTGGTGCTCTAGTTAAATCTCAGGTGATACATATAAGCTTTCAGTTACAGATTTTGGCAAAGAGGAGTTAAGATAAGGTAAAAAGAAGGGAGAAAATCTGTAAGCAATATAAGTATCTCCCAAACTGGGAAGATACAACACCCAACTGACTTCTTCCTGTAGTATAGAGACAAATGACTAAGAAATTCTTGTGGTATGATATCTTTAACTCTGAAAAGAACATGCTAATTTGGTCACCTTAGAGTATAACTGTAAATCTGTCTTTTTCCATTTATTGACCACCATTGACCATTTTGTCATTTTAACTATTCTTTGTGTATGGAAAGCTAAAGGAACAGGTCAAAATTCGTACATAATTATACAACAGAATCCACTTGCACAAGCTTTCTTATTTTCAAAATAAGTGTGTCAAAAATCACTAAAGGAGCAGTTTTAGGTTTATGGAGTGGTCTTGGTACAAACAAAGATAAGAAACATCCACAAATTTTTAACTTGTTACCTACTTCTAAGCAAATCTGATGCTGGCAGAAAATGCACTTAAAGCAATTCAGTAAAACTTTTCAAGTTTCTGCTGTGGTTCTCTTTTTAATCCAGTGAGACTTATATACGTTTGCTAAATAAATTTCTTAATGAGACTCTTTCCTCTGTGGCCTTTGCTCCTGTCACAAGGAAACATGATTCTTTTCCTATTAGGGTGAGCTGAAAGACCTTGCCCTTTCCTGTAGCATAGAAGACATGATTGAACCCCTCTTCCTGAGCATTTCTGGAGAAGTGAGAGGATTGCACGTCAGTTACTCACTACCTTGTGAAAGTGGAGTTACTAGGTAAATCAATGTGTTGTTAAAATTATCCCACATATCTGTTTGTGAAACCATTTTAATAGATAGAAAGCACTCATCTATCTGTACAGCACTCGCTTATAGCAAGATGACGAACTGGAGAAAAAACACCTAAAGAATTCCACTGGGAGAGGAACATGTAGTAAATTCACCCCTGAAGTTCTGTAGCAGCCAGATACAATATAGGTCAACTTCATACCAATGACAGTGTTTGGAGTAAAAAAAAAAACAAAAACAAAAAAAAACCTAAAAACAAATTCGTTCATGATAGCTCAAAGACCTTAAGCTCTTCAGTTTACATATCCCTTTTGCTTTGTTTTAGTGCTGTCATTTCATAAAGTTGGGAAGACAGCCATGGCACCGTATATTAAGGCAGATCACAGCAACGCAGCCTAACTTTATGTCCAAACTAAGTTTCCATTTGTAAGTGCAGTGCACATTTTTACACATGTCACACTCTATGAAAGTTAAGCAGATCTTTCTGTGTCTTAGGCTTCCAGATTAAATGAACAAAAATTACTTTTTCTCAAAGCAAAAAAACAGTAGAGGAAAAAAAAATGTAAGCACGCCATTGGCTGCGTGAACTTCTTTCCTCTTCCTGCTATACATAGGCAGCAAGGACACATGTTTCATTGTCCATGGGACCATTCACTGAAGGGGCTATGTGAAGAGAAGGTGCTGGGTTTGCACCATAACCAAATTCAGCATCTTGCTAAGCTCAGGAGATGACTGATGATGAGCACTACAGCGTTCTAACCATTGTGTAGCTGAAACAAATTCAAATTAATGCATATGAGTTCGTTAATTCATGAATAATAAATTAGCGTGAAATTAACTGCACATCAGCGAAACTCATGTTCACGTGTTGTGTCTCTTCTCCCATGTGCTCCTGGCACCCGTAACCTGACGGCAGCTCTGATGCTTCTGTGTATAGACAGCAGGAAAATTAATTTCTCCATGCTAACAAAAGTGTGGGGCCTCTGCTGCCTATCACATGTTTATGAGGAACAGCTATTCTGTGCAATGTCAAAAATGGGTAAATTGAACTCTTAGATGTGAATTTTAAATAACAGAATTATGCCCAAGATCACATGTTTTGCACTATTAAGTTTTCTTGTTGCACTGTTAGACGTGATGTTAAAGAAAGATGAATATACTTCTGTTTGACTCTGTATATCTGACTGATATTTTTTGTTTTATTTTTCTAATATGTAGTGTGATTCCTCTCTTTTGGAATGTGCTTCATCTTTATACGTTTTTTATATAAGTAAAAGTGATTCCGTATTTGTTGGTCTGCATGTTATACAGTATAAAAGTTCTACCCAAAATAAATCCTTACAAGGACAGAAGTGAGAAAATGAAAAGCAGCGAATTATGATAACAAAAATCTTAGGTTGCATGGTCCTTTTACACTATTATCACAAACACATTGCACGTTTTCAAATCTACTTTAATTATCTATAGCATAAGAAAATGGGACTGATGTTTTAATACTAATGTAATTTCTTTTGATAGTGACGAAAGGCAAATGCTACAAAGCCCATGTGATCTTCTTTTGGACTTTGGATCTGAAGTTGCATTCAAAGACATAGTAAAACGTCAGCTAATTCTTACCAATCACACTGGAATCAGTGCTCCATTCAAACTAGAAGCTGAGTATTTTACTGGCTATTCACCTACTGCAGAACAAGGACTCTGCCCGTAAGTCCTGGCTTTCTACATAATGATTCAAATTCTAATGTAGGTCTGAATTAAAGTTGAAATCAGGCTAGAGTACTATTGTCTCAGGAACCACTTTCTGCAATACTCTGGTGGATTACTTTAAACTCTTACTCTGACTGTGATAATGAAACTTGCTGATGAGATTACCTGCAGAAATGGGTAGCCAGCAATAGAAGGAGGGAAGATTTAGCTGGTACAAATAGCAAAACACTGTTTGTGCCAGTGGACATAAACTGGTTTACACCAGCTGAGACTCTGTTGTGCTGGATTGTACAGTGAGACAACTTTACAACTTTAATAGATTTACTCATAAGGATGTTATATATTTTTTAAAAAAAAAATTTGTAAAAAAAAAAAAATATTTCTATAAGTAGTCCTTCTTTAAGTTATAATGGCTAGTGATCTGGGAGTCAAGCAGAGCTAGTTCTTATTTTACAGGAGACCTGCTCATCTCACAGAATTGTCATAGTGATCTTTTATTTTTTTCAAGCTCTCCAAGCTACCTGGTGAAAAGGAGAGGGCCCATCACAAGACACACAGCCAAAAGAGCACAGTCAGGTATGAGAATAGCTGTTTCTCCCCTCAGTGAAGAGAAGGCAAAGGCCAGTTGACTAGCATATTCAGCATTAAATGTACCTGTCAGGAACATCATCATCATCATTTCGTTCTTGGAGTATCCAGTTAAGTCTGCACTGCCAAATAATTTGGTCCTCCAGTTCACTCTTGAGTTTAAATGTTCACATTACATAAACATTAGGTCAATCCTAAACTTTTCTTTTCTTTTCAATAAACCAACTATCTGAAAAAGAGATGGGTGTTTCTGGTGATAGCTCCCTGCCAGGACCACTCCCAGCACACAGTATGGACAAGACTGCATAAGATTTCGCTGTCTCCTTCCTGCACAGGCCTCCAATGCTACTGCAGCAGGCGTTGCTCCCTCAAACGCTCTTGCATACCCTTCTCACTGTGGAAAGATGCAGCGCAGCCCACCCATCGCTTCAGATACCGTATATTAAAAACAGTCATGTTTGGAGCTACATGGGATCCTGGCGGGAGGGGAGTCAAAGTAAAGAGCAATAGTGTGGATCTGTCTTCTGTATCCAAAATGAAACTTGGACATACTGTTAGCTTGTCATAGTGTTTGGTGTCTGTTACGAAGACAGAGCTTTTTCAGCTGTTGGATTAGTCATTAAAATTTTAAAGAATCTGGTCACAAACCTATTGGTTTAGAAGGTGAGGCGACTCAAGAGTGTGGAAAGGCTTTTTGCTCCTTTTATTTCAGTCTTTGTATTGAAGAGCGCACAGATGTAAACAGGCAGCTGCTAATAGAAAGATAACAAGTTAGCACAAATCTCAGCTTAGTTTCCTCAAATTGAGGGTGTGTTTTCATGTAACCAATTACTGCCTTGGATCTCCCAGAGAGTCCTGGCTCAGGTTGTTGGAAGGGAGTCATCTATGAAATAATCCCTGTAAGAACTGAGTCATGTAAAAAGCAGATTAAGACCCACTGCAGAAGGGAATTGGAGTAAAAGTGATTTAACGGTGCGAGCTGTGTAAACGATCCCAGTTTCGTTGAAGCCAGTAGGGCTCGGCTGATTAATACCAGCTAAAGATCTGGTATTGTATTTTCTCTGAAAGACTGACTTTGTTCCATTTCCTAGAACTTTATCAAATGATTCTTTGCTGTGCTCCTTCAGTGTTTGCAGCAGCAGTGCTGTCTCATGGGAAGGGAGTAGCTTTCCATATACAACCTTCCACAGGAACTCTGAAAGCCTTCCAGCAGCTAATCATAGAAATAACAGCTTATAACAACATGTGGGGAGAGTACCGTGATGAGCTTGTCTGTAAGGTAGGTGGGGCTTTGCTTTTAAGTGAAGTATTGCTATAGCAGATCTGGCACTAATTGTATTTCCCAAATTCCTTTCGTTGCAATTGCCTTTCAAATGCATTTTCAATTTGTTAGAATTTCAGTAAATTTCTAGACCTACAACAACGTCTGCGTAACAATGGCTTGCTGTTACAGTGCGTGTTTTAGCTTTGGGGGTAGCATGTTTCTCTCTTGGGAGTTTTTTTGTGCTTCTTTAAAATGACTAGAGCAGTTCTGATTTATAAAATCTGTTTGGTAATCAGCCAGTGCACTGCTCTGCTTTACAAATACAATATACTGTGTTGTATGGAACGGCCCCAGGGACACAGATTAACGAATGAGGTATTGCATTCTTCTGCTGAGAAAAGCTTTTGTTAGCGTATGACTTACGTGCTTTCAAAATAAATCAGTCAAAATATTTGAAAATCCAATCAGGTTTCAAGATCTAATTTTGTAACCCAGATACCAAAGCTTTATTTTGATTCTAATAGCAAACATTCATTTTTTCATAGGTGGGAGACTTGCAGCCTACATTAATTCCTTTACAAATGACCGTGAAAGGCTGTCCAATTTTCCTGCAGATGACAGGACCACAGACAGAGCAGCCCATAATCAGGTATAGCCCAAAATACTGTCAGAGAAGTCTGACAGTTAAATACTATTGGACTGTGGCCAACATATACACCTGTGCCCATCTTTTTGTGGTGCAATGAGAAGGACAGCAAACTGACCGTCAGAGTACGGTATCTGCATCTATAACAGCAATATATTTGCCTCTCCCAGTACGATTAGGAAAGGATCTGCATACAAGTCTTCTCAGGTATACCATCAATTGCTCTTCTAGTCTTGCAGTTCATAGGAGTTTCTATTCCTAGTGATTTTGTGGGGATGAAAATAAGTAAATGGTAGCAGTCCTCCCCATCATGTGCAGTACAGTTCTCTCTGTCCACTTGCGTGGAGAAATGCAGCCCCAAGCTGAATGGAGATAGGAGGAGATTTAAACCCTCCCCTACAGTGAGTTACATCTCCACATCAGCGTAAGGCTTGGTGTATGAGCACTGGGGCACTACACGCCTGGCCAGCTGCTGCACAACGCTGTCACATCTCTCTGCCTTTGGAGGAATTGGACTTACGTGGCACACTGCAGCAGGAGGGTTTGTAAGGTCAGCTCTGTAATAAGGCATAGAAAATGGAATTACCATCTACCATAGAAAACCCTTATGCACCTGGAAATTTGTGTCTGACATGGATCACCCAGGATAGCTATTTGCTGCTTCTACCACACCTATGCATCCTGAAACATCTGAGACAACTAACAGAATTGGAAGAAAGAGTCTGATTAAATAAAATAGCACTGCACTTCCCAGTACTGGCCATACTTTACCCATGCAGCCAGATATGTTACCACTATTAAATGAACCTTTAATGAAAAACCATCTCAAACATTCACTTACTTTCTGCATCTGCTAACAGCAAGGTTTCCCACCTCAGGTTTGGCACTCATGTCTCTGGAGGGTATCCTGTGTCCCGGAGTGTCCAGCTCAACAATCCCACTCCCTTTGGTAAGGCTGGTTTTTGTACAGCAAACATTGACACTTGCACTGCACTACTTCTAGTAATGAAAACATAACAGCCTACTAACATGTTAATTAACTGACCTTCTTGTTTCTTAATCAAGATGGCTGTTGTAAAGACAATAATAGTTCATAAGAGAGTGTCTCAGCTGCTTTCTAGTTTAGCTAGTACAGAGCAATAGAAGATGCTGTCGGGTCTTTATCTGCATTTATCGTTATGGCGTTATTGTCGTGGAGATTAGTCTGTTTCCGCATCAGCAAAGCAGGTGAGCTTCAGCCATAGGGTAGTGGAAGAGTATAATTGACTTGATGTATTATTACTATGAAACAGCAGCACATCCTGTTCTAGTGTCTGGGTTTTCACTCTTTATTAAAATAAAGGATGGACACTCAGGGTTTCCTATCCTGCTATGTAAAACTCTTAGAGCACTAACTCTGTCAAGCAAATGTGCTGCCTGCTTCTTAGTGGCATCACTTGGCTTTTCTGTGTTTAGTCTTTTCATCTCTGGGCTAGATTTTAAGCTCTTCAGAGCAAGGATCAGACATATTTTTTTCTGAATGCTACCAAACACATTTGTTTAACTAACAAAATACTTGTAATTCATTTTAATGTTAATAAAATTATATTTGGGGACCTAGAGACTTACTCAGCTGTAATAACGACCTAGCACACACGATCTTAAGTAGTCTGACTTCCCCGGTCCTGAAGAGACCCACAAATGTGGCATAGCTTAAGATGTGCTCTAATAGAAACCTAGTTGCTGGAGAACAAATTCGTGACTTGATCTTCTGATTCTCCAATCCCAGCAATGCTATGAGTCATCTGAATGACCAAAAATAATTGTCCTTTCTCCTTTTCAATTAGACATTCGCATGGACTGGGAAACATACAATCGAGAGAAAGATGATAAAAAGCTGATAGACCTGTTGGTGGTCTACGGAGACCCTTTTCCTCCTAAGGACATAGATGAAAATGAGGCTGCATCAATTGGTAGCAGTTCAGAGTCAGAAACCGTGTTAAAGTTGGATCAAACCCGCATCCCCTCTGAAATCACTTCAGCTTCACAAGCCTCAGCTGAGGTCAGCTATTAGTAGTCTGGTTTTTATATTGCTGCTGAGATACATGAGGAGTTTCTTGGCATGAAAGGTAGAAAACAATAACATGCAGTACAACATGTAACTAAGATTTGGATTGTTAAAAGAAATGTCAACTCCTCTCAGTCAAAAAAGCAATACATGGCTAGGTGGCTGTCAAAATCAGCAATGAGTTACCAAAATGGGCTATAAGCTAATTGCTTTTCAGCTTCTCCACGTCTTAAAATCGTTAGAGAAGCTGATCAGGTATCTTTTAAAACTGTCATTGACAAACTGACTGCATTTTTACATTGCAAGCGCTAAGCAGATCCAAAGTGAGGAGGAGTTTTAATAATCTTATCTCATGGGTGCTTTATGGTGGCAATATCTTGCTCTAGTTAGAGAGCAGCATCTAATCTGCAAAGATCAAATTTCAACTGACGTTCTGGAGGTATTCATCCCAGTGCCAAACTAGATTGGTTCTGTTACTCTGTTATAATGTGGTAACATCTACTTTGTGTGAAGCTTTATATAATATGGCAGTTTACTGTCCTGAAAGGCTGGGAGTGACAGGGAGAAAGTGTCTGCAGGATATGGATGTGTCTATTACAAAGTAAAAACTTTACAGAAAAGATGTTAAGGACACTTTCCCTCTGTTTCCCCTCAGAAGGCACAGTTGTTCTGAATAAACCTCTTACCTTTCTTGTGCTACAAGGGAGCCCTATTGCACTGGTATGCTGGTTTATATGATGGGCCAGAGATCTTATGGTTCAATGCTTCTCTTGGCTGAACAGGACTCAAGCAAGCACATTTTCCAAGGATTTCAGGGGCAGTTTGGGAAGAGCAAAACCCCCGCATGAAAAAAATTTACAAACAGGACACATCCACATAACCAGTTTTTGCGCCAGAAAGAAAGAAACTGCCTGACTTACTGACTAGTGCAGCAGTTCACCGCAGACTTCACTTGCATTCCTTCTTTGCAGAATAACAGTTTTAACTATTCCCTGCCCTCCTGTCTCTGCAGTCTTCAGACACGGACAACAAAAAAGAGGAAATCATCACTGAAGAACCTACAATAAAGAAAATCATCTCTGTACTTATACGACCTCACGAAGGGGTTCCTGCAGACAACCCCTACTCCATAACTCCAAGGCAAATAGTAAGGTGTACATTTTGTTTGTGCTTAGATTTAGCAGATTTTATGTAGGACAGCAGAAACAGAAGCAGGAGCAGAAAGCTTTGGGTTGGGGAAGAGACTACTAAACAGGCCTTTGAGAAAGGGTTGCATCCTAGAAAACTCTTCTGGAGAAACATTTATAACCCACAGTGCCTTTGAAAGTAACTGATGCAAATCGGGGCTACAGTCTCACAATTATTTAGGAATAACATAATGCAAAGACAGCACTGGAAAGATCTAGTAAATAAGTCCTAAGGTAACCCAAAACAGTAGTGTGGTACTGCATGGCTTCCCAAATACTAACAAGCTTTTTGCCAAAGGGTTTCAGTTACAAATTATAATTAGCTAAAGAATACATTAAAGAAACAATTACTGAAATGGTATCTCAAGGCAGTGAAGCCTACAGTCAGCTCTGGGGTAGGAAGACAGCTCTGAGACAGCTTGGATAATACAGAGGTCTCTTTGTTAAGACATCCTATGGCTGCCACAGCCAGCGATGAGCTAGAGTTAGCAAGAGCTATGTGCAAAGGAGTTGATGCCTTCCAGGTGTTGTGCCGCAGAGACGTTCTCCATGTTTCTCCCGTTGCTCCACACTCCACGAAGGTCTGTTAGCTCAGGTGTTGTGCGGCACAGCTGCCCAGACCTGGCTCAAGTCCATTTATGTATCTGAGCAAATAAACTTTCTGTGACCACAGGGCACAGACGCTGCAGTGTTGTAGGATATGGCAGAGCTTATTAGCTCCAGCGTCACCCTGGCCATGCTAGATCTCAGGCAGCGCTGTCTTGCAAGAACCCACGGCAAGGATAGCTGAGCTGGCTGTGCTTCCACCGAGCACAGGTCCAGCAGGGACAAACGTCTCACCCTGTGATTGCATGAAATCAGGGAGGTCACTTCTGCACAACACTAGCCTGAACACTAGCAGTACACGTCACATGGCCTCTGGGCTTGCAAACTTGGCTAGACTTGAATTGACTCTGAAGGGCGATGGCTAAGGTGTTCCTGCAGCAATAGCACGATTTAACCATAACCTGCATAGTGCACATAAAGAATTCGGGATCAATTCAACCTGTAAATCACAGAAAAATCCCCTGTGGCTGGCCTGTGCATTTGATTGTGTTCTCTGCTGTCATGTAAATAAAAAATGGCCAGGAGTAAACTGAATTGTAAAATACTCATAACTCATAAGTCTTCAGAAAATGCTTCTTGTGTCTCTGAGTGCTGTCAGTTGTCAGAGAATCAGCTTGAGTTATGCAGGGAGAAGGACTGGGAATAACTGGGCAGAATTACTTTTCTTTTTTTTAATAAACAAAAAAGTCTGTATGTATTCTTAGGAGAATTGGTCTGTGACGTTACTTAAATTATGTGCACGTTAAAGAGTGGTTACGCAGAGATTTGCCACCAAAATAATTAAACGAAGTTTGTTTTTACATGTTGTCATTTCAGTGCAAGCCTGGGCATAGCCCATCCCCAGGCGCTTTCAGGCTGTTTGTAAAACTCAGTCAGTTTTAGCTGCGGAGCTCTGAGGGTGCTTGTGCAATCCCCAGCAGCTCCCTGCCCTGCTCAACACCCGTGTCTTGACTGCAGGTGGTTCCAGGAGGTGGCAGTATCTCCGTTTGTATCTGCTTCACCCCACAAGTCCTCCCAGAGACCATAAGCCAAGTGCAATGCGAAGGGTTTGTGCTGGGTTTCATGAGCCTCGACAACAAGGTAAACTGACTGTCCCAGCAAGGCTAAAGAAGACTCCAAAATGATCGGTTCCATTTCGGTAACTTCATGTACAGACTGCTGTGTACCCAGCCAGTCTATATAAACAGTCCTGTTCCTGCTACCCTGTACATCCTTCCTCAGCTAGGGTTGTTCATTTGTTG